GTTGAGTTTTCCAAATTTGCTGGCAAATTGAGTGTAGCACTTTTACTGCATCGTCTTTTAAGATTTTGAATAGCTCAGCTGGAATACTGTCACCTCCACTAGCTTTGTTGTTGCTCAGCTTTCCTAAGGCCCATTTCACTTCACATTCTAGGATGTCTGGCTCAAGGTCAGTGACCACCCCATCGTGGTTATCAGGGACGCTAAGCTCGTTCTTGTATAGTTCTTCTGTGTAATTTTGCCACCTCTTCTTAATCTTTTCTGCCTCTGTTAAGTCCCTGTCATTTTGATCCTTTATCATCTTTGCATATCTCCAATTATTAAAATGGAGGCTACTCCATTTCTTCTGAGGGATTCTTACCCGCAGTAGTATATCTGATGATCCTCTGAATTAAATTCACCCATTCCTGTCCATTTTAGTTCGCTGATTCCTAAGATGTCGATGTTCAGTCTTGTCATCTCTTGTGACCATGTCCAGTTTGCCTTGATTCATGGATCTTACATTTCAGGTTCCTATGGAAGATCTTTACAGCATCGGACTTTCCTTTCACCACCAGATGGCTTTCGGCTTTGGCCCAGTCGCTTCACTCTTTCTGGCGCTACTAGTACTAGCCCTCTGCTCTTCCCCAGTAGCATATTGGACACCTTCCGACCTGAGGGGCTCATCTTCCAGCATCATATCTTTTTGCCTTTTGGTACTGACCATGGGGTTTTCATGGCAAAGATACTGGAGAAGGAAATGGCAACCCACTCCAGTATCTTTGCCATGAAAACCCCATGGACAGTGGTGAACATATCCAACATATTTTCATCCTCCTATTTTCCCCACAACAACTCTATGTGGTAAATTGGGTTTGAGAGAAAGTCACTATCCAGCCTGCTACCATAACCACTAGACCACACTGGCTTTCATTTGTAGGGTGGGATTTATATTTAAGAATTTCTTTGAGGTCTGCAATGAAACTAGATTATTATTAGTCCATCAGAGTCTTCAATTAGAACTCTTGGGCTCAAAGAAGTCTGTTACTATTTCTTACAACAGGAAACATCAGCTTTCAAAACGTTCTGAATTATTGGAAAGTTAGCAAAGGAAAGCTTCAGCCTTATCTCACATGAATATATTTTTCCTGGGTAGGAATTCAACTTCTAGTAATTCAGGCTAGCAATTTGCAGCATGGACATTCAGATTTGTCTAAACTTGAGAGGGAGAAATTACACTCACTCCAACACACACCTCCTGTTCTCTTTAATTTTAATTTGGAATTCTTGTTAGCAATTATAATGGCTGTAGGTTTTGATATCTTTAGGAAAAGAGGGATTATTTCCTCTTTTTTAATATTGTTCTCTTGACATAAACCCTTCATTGTGTAGAGATAAAATAATAGAGTCAGATTTTCTTACTGCCCACTTAAATCCCCTATTTTACTCTTCAGAATAAATTTGTTAATGGTCCTATGCCCTTTGAGTAGAAGAGTTATATGAATAAGGGTTCAAAAATGAGAACAGCTCTGCAAATAAGTTATAATATTGGCTCTTCTACTTTGGAATTTCCATAGCTCAGCTTTGAACAGCCTGTTGGTGATAGATGAGCATTTGTTTGCCACAGGAGATGACAGTGGAGTGTTGAAAGTATGGGACCTGCGCAAGGGCACGTCCGTCATGGAAATGAAGCAGCACGAGGACTACATCAGTGATATGATCATAGATAGAAACAAAAAGCTGCTTCTCACTACCAGGTATTACATTCTTCTGTTAATTCAGTAGATCAATAGGTTACATATGTATGTTTAGAGTGGAGATGTTTTATAGCACGGGGAACATTAAAAGCTTTTAGATTAAAAACTATCACCATCTCCTTTGGTGTTATTCTTTTCACTGTTGTAATGCATTTCCCATAAATACAGAGTTATCTATAGCCAGCTCTGAACTGCTAGTGATTATATTGTTTAAGCTTGTCAGAAAGCAAATAGATGTGTAAGATTTACTGATTTAGGAATGGAATGTTCTGGAGAGGTCCAGAACATTCCATCCCCCTTCTGGAACATGCCATTCTGGAGTAGACCAGCAATTTCCAGAAGTAAATTCCTGAAACAGGTTTGTCTCAAGTGTCTCAAAAACTGGAAGTCACTCAGGACATTATACTGTCATATCAAGGCATCTTTAACTACTACTAGTTCATGGAATTTACTTTCAAAAACTGCTGCATTCATAAGAGGAAGTTTGACATGATCTAGAGGAGAGCAGAACATTTTTAGAGTTCTCCAGAATGCTCCATTCCAGAACTGTCATATTCCAAATAAAATTAGCTTTATAAATAAATATTATGTACCATCCTATTTCTCGCAGTGGAGATGGAACAATGGGAGTCTTCAACATTAGGAGAAGGCGTTTTGAGCTTCTCTCAGAATCTCAGAATGGAGACTTAATGGCCATATCTCTGATGAAAGTAAGTTCTATTATCTAGCTGCACCTTGGAAAAAAGACTGTTTGCAGATATGAACCAGTGAGCTACTCAATTTCTGATATGGACGATAGCAAGGTCTTTAATGAGAGCTAATTTGGCATAGTGGTTAAGGTACCAGGCTAGTAGCCAGAAGACTGTGAGTTCTAATCCTACCCTGGATACAAAGCCAGCTGGTTGATCTTAGGCCAGTCAGTTTCTCTCAGCCCTACGAAACAGGCAATGGCAAACCACTTGTCAAGCTATGAAGATTGCTTACAACAGCCTGAGGATTAATTGGACAATGTGACCTGAACTGTCAGAGAGGGGAGGGAAAGTTTTCCTCTTTTAATTATCTTTTTCCACCTTATTGCCAGAGCTGGTTTTCCATTCAATAGTACCAGTATGCTGTATCCAATAAAGTGTTGCATTAGAGATCTAAATGGCTCTAGTGTATTTACTTCATTGGGATCTTTAGCCGGAACCTTGACACCACTTCTGAAAATGTTTCAAGAAAAATGCAGGGATTAGTTCAGGCAGTCACCAGGAGACAACACGAACTCAAAAGGACTTTTTAAAAAAAGTCTTTAAAGTATTTTCCTGCATTAGTATAATTTGTGATGTCCCTATTCAAGGTAGTATGCTTTAAGATTTTGATAAATAGGATTTACTATTTTAAATACCTTTCAAAACTTTGTTCTTAATAACAAAAGATATGCTGCTTTTTTCTGGCTAAACTATGTATTATTTTTCTCCTGCTCAGAGGGGAAGGAAGGTAGCCTGTGGCTCCAGTGAGGGAACAATTTACCTCTTCAACTGGGATGGTTTTGGCGCCACTAGTGACCGTTTTGCACTGAAGGCAGAATCCATAGACTGCATGGTTCCCATAACTGAGAGCATTGTGTGCACAGGTTCCACTGATGGAATCATTAGGTGAGACTGGCATGAGAGAAGAAGCTCTTGTGAAAGATTCTAATACCGGACAGGTACATGACAACACAAACGACTGGCTGCAAATGAAACTGGGTAAAATCTGGGTAAGCCAGAGACAAACTGATGGCTCAGTGGTTAAAGATGCTGGGCTTGTCGGCTGGAAAGTTGACAGCCCGAGCTTGAGACCCAAGCGCCATGCAGTGGGCTGAGCGCTCATTACTTGCCCTAACTCCCACCTGCCTAGCAGTTTGAAAGCATGCAAATGTGAGTAGATAAATAAGTACCACTTTGGTGGGAAGGTAACAGCGTTGCATGCGTCTCGGCATATAGTCATGCCGGCCACATGACCATGGAAGCATCTTTGGCCAATGCTCAGCTAAGAAACAGAGATGAACACTGCCCCCTAGAGTTGGGCACGGCTGGTAGGGGGAACCTTTACCTTTATATAAGTGATTAAATTTTTTTAAAAAGAACTTAGGACATGGCTGGATACCTCTCTCCACAAAGAACTGGCATTCTGTTTGGTAATTAAACTTTTCTTTCTTTTAGGGCAGTAAATATCTTGCCCAATCGAGTGATAGGAAGTGTCGGGCAGCATATGGGTGAGCCTATTGAACAGCTGGCTAAATGTCATACAGGACAATTCCTGGCCAGTTGTGGCCATGACCAAAAAGTGAAATTCTGGGACATCTCTTCACTTAGTTCAGTGATTGTGGATGATTATAGAAAAAAGAAGAAAAATAAGCAACTGAAGCCTTTAAGTCGCAAAGCATTTGGCAATGGGGAAGATTTCTTTGCAGACTTGAAAGCGGTGGCAGCAGACTTGGAGAAAGAGAATGATGGACTTTCTGAGACTGACAGCGACTGAAAGACACACACTGATCCAATTAGAGGCTCATTTCTTTGAACGGACATTTTTGGAAAAGCTCAGCTATGCTGCATTTTTCATACTGAAGAATAAGCTTCAGGGTATTTAAACTTGTGCTCTGTGGGCAAAGTCTTGATAGCCTAATAAAACTAATAGCACAGAAGAGAACTAAGAATTTTCCTAGCTCTGAGAGAAATGGGAAATGAAATGTCATTATATGTGGACAGTTAGAATAAGGGAAAAAAATTTTTATGTATCAAAAGAGTTTTCCTTGCAAAGGCCACAGGTCTGTTTCCTCCATGGAGTGATGCTTTTATTTTGCCACACAAAATATTTAGGAATCAGGCTATTGCTCCACCTCGCAAGTGGATTCCATTTTATTGCTATGAAACAGGGATCTCTTAAGCTCAGAAGAAAACAGATTTAAATAATGAATTGATGTTCATGATGAAACCTTGGGAATTTCTAAATTACTGTTTTTCTGGGGTTTTATTTAAAGAAGAAAAATAGGATAATTCCACATATGAAGATGCATCAATTTAATATACAGGTAATCCCTGAGTTATGAGCGTTCACTTAATGCTCGTTCAAAGATAGGTGATGAGCGCCCCCTAGTGCTTACGAGCAAGTCCCAAAGTTAAGAATATTGCAGCACCATGGAAGTCGTTCGCCCTTACGAGTGACTGCAGTGTCTCTGCAACATTCACCCTAGTTATTCCCTCCCTCCCCACCCGCGCCCGGGTCTCCCTAGGCACCAGGACTTCAATACTCACCCTGCGAAGATCAAGATCCTTCGCTTTCTTGGCTGCTCCAGGCCTTTGGTGCGTTCACAGAGAGTGGAGGTCTAAAATAACAAGATCAGTGGGACGAGATCTCACGCTACTGATCTCGCGTGATCTCATGGCACCCCCCCGATGGCCCGATCTGGGCTCTGGAGGCCTTTTCCAGGCTGTTGTGGCCTGGATCTAAGGCCGAGGGAGGCTCTTGCGCCCCCCCCCCGGCCCGATCCAGGCTCAGGAAGCCCTTTCCTGGCCAATTGGGCCGCGGGGGATGGTTGCGGAAACGTTCCCCAACCTCAAATCCGGGCTGCAGCACCCTGGAAAAGGCATCCGAAGCCCGGATCGGGCCACGGGGGGGATTGTGGAAGCGTTCCCCGGCTTTAAATCCGGACTGCATTGCCCTGGAAAAGGCTTTCAGAGCCCAGATTGGGCCACGGGGGGGGGGTTGTGGAAGCGTTCCCAGGACTTAAATCCGGGCCGCAGTGCCCTGGAAAAGGCCTCCGGAGCCCGGATTGGGCCCTGCGGGGTGTGCAAAAGCCTCCCCCGGCCTTAGATTCGGGTCACAGTGGCCTGGAAAAGGCCTCCAGAGCCCAGATTGGGCCACGCGGGATGAGTGGAAGCGTTCCCTGGCCTCAAATCCAGGCGGCAGCAGGAACTGTAGCAGAGAGGAGACGGATCTTTTCCAGGTGAGTCCGCCATGGCAGGGAGGGGGAAGCACGCGGTATCCTAGTAGGTTAGGGAGGCCTTGGGGGCCTCTTCCAGCACTAGGCCCTCCATAGCCTTCCCTACCCTGAGATACCTTATGTTCGCTTAAAAGCCGTGTGCGTTTTAATGAAAAGCAGTGATCTCGTACCTCGAATGAGATTCACTACGAGTTTTCGATTTACAAGTGGAGTGGGCAGGCTCCATTCCACTCATAACTCAAGGACTACCTGTATTTGTGAACTACCTCAAGTGAATTACAGTCAACAGCCTGTTTGGTCTAGTGGTTAAGGCACCAGGTTAGAAACCAGGAGACTGTAAATTCTAGTCCCATTTTAGGCATGAAAGCCAAAGACTCACAGCGTTGTTGTGGGTAAAACAGAAAGGAGTCTTGTACATGTTCTCTGCCTTATATTTTATGAAAATAATAAAGGTGAGATACAAATAAAAGTTAAATACAAAATATCAATTTAAGCCCTGTAAAATAAGACTAGGTTTAAAAGGGAAGAAGGAAAACAAAAATGCTAGCCTTTCTTACAGGATTTAGGCAGGGGATATATTGGTGAAGGAGATAGAACATAGAATAATAGGGTTGAAGGGACCTTGGAGGTCTTCTAGTCCAACCTGCCCATTGCAGGAGATCCTATACCATTCTGGACTTTGCTTGATGAAATGGATATATGTGATCATAGAATAACAGTTGAAAAGGACCCCGGAGATCCTCCAGTCCAACCCCCACCCACCTAAGCAGGAGATGGTCCACTATTCCCTCCCATGAATTGGCACCTCGTCAATTCCAGTGGAGAATAATTGAAGGTACCATAAGAGACCCTTTGATTATGTAGTGGACCTTATTTGAATGAGGTTAACTTTGCTTGCTCTTTTTTTCCTTGGTTTGTTGTGCTTGTGGGTACTCTCATATCCAGAGATTTTGTGCTCACATTCCCATACTTTATGCCATTGAAATCTCATCATTTCGCTGTGAATTTTTAAGTACGATCTTAAGGTATTTTGAGTTTTGCAATAGGAGGCTAGGGTGCTTAGAGCTGCCAACCACTATTCCAGAGGAAATAAGAACTAGCCAGTACAGGATAAAACTTGGTTTTGTTTAATGTACCTATATCAGGGGTCCCCAACCCCTGGTCCGTGGACTGACACCGGGCCGTGGCATGCCAGAAACTGGGCTGTGCAAACAAGCAAAGCCTTATCCATGGGATGTAGGCAGTACATGAAACCATGCCCCCTCCAGTCCACAGAAAAACCTTTCTCCAAGGAACTGGTCCCTGGTGCTCAAAAAGTTGGGGACCTATATGACAACAGCAAACATTTGAGTTTTATACTGCATATTTAAATGAAATTGCAGGTAGTCCTCACTTATTGATTGCCTCATTTACTGGTCACTTGTAGTTATGGCAGGGCTTTTTAACCTGTGGTATGCTTACCACTGGTGGTACTTTGACATCTGGCAGGTGGTAGTGAGCTAGACGAGTGTAGTGGGGGGATGAGCTGAACTGGTGGCAGCATCGCACAGGCCCGGGGGAAGGTCAGCTGGAGCTGTGGTGTTGCTAGGCTCTGAGGCCCCAGCGATGCTAGAGCTCTCCTTGAGCCCCAGAAAGTGGTGCCCCCAGAAAAGGAGGAGAGGAGAGGATATAAAAGGAGGTTTTGGTGGGAGAGGGAGAGGAAAAAAAGATGACGGGGAAAGAAGGGGATGGAGAAAGGGAGAGGAGGAGAGGCTTCTGTGAGAGAAGCAGTGAGGAGAAAGAGAGAGGAGAGGCTTCTGTGAGAGAAGTAGAGGGATCAATGAAGGAGAAGAGGCTGTGAAAGAGAGGGGACAGAGAGAGGAAGAAGGGCTGACCAACCACCTAGGTAGTGGTGCATATTAATAAATATGGATAAATTACTCATACATTTGTCAGTGCAAAGGGAAAGTGGTTCAGCAAAGGAACTGCCACTGAAGAAATTAAAGCCAGCATTTTTTCCCTTTTTTTGGGGGGGGTTATCAAGTTTTTGATACCTTGCTAAGCACTGTTGGTACTCAACTATTTTCATGTCCTAAAAGTGGTACAATCTGTGGAAAGGCTGAAAAGTATTGAGTTATGGTATTAAAAATGGTTTTGTGACCAATCCTTGCATTACTGAGTGTCGTAGTAGCCCACGTTCATGTAATCAGGATTTGGGCACTTTGCAACTGGCATGCATTTAGAACCATCACAGCATCCCACAGTTACATAATCACCACTGTACATTCTTCACAACCGGTTTGTGACAAGCAGAGTTAATAGGGAAGGTAAAAGTAAAATTGTAATGAGATCTTTTGTTCAATGACTGGCACTTAGCAACTAGCATGCAGAACCTACCATCCCCATGAGATTCAGATGAAGAGGGGTTCCCCCCCCCTAAAAACAGACCTTGAGAGCAGCACTCCTGTTTAGAACATTGGCCACACCTTTGCTTCCATTTCCTGCAAACTGTGGAAAACATGTTTGGGCAGATATTCAGCCTTTTTCAGGATAGCTACTTGTATGAGCAACCTCTGTTTTGTATTATCTATGTTATTTTGAACTTTTTGTAATTTATATAAACAATATAGATGAACTAGATGACATAAAAGTACTATAAATAATCTGAAATTAACTATATGAGAGTGCTGTGTTAAAGCAGTGTTGAGTAAATGATCCTAGTTCTCATGCATAGAAACCATTAGGCCTCTTCCTTAATATGATGACAATAAGCTTTTTTTTAAAAAAAATTCTCCATAGATACTGGAAGACAGTAATTGTGTGGAAAGCAAGAACACAGAATGATATCCAAGCATTAAATTTCACAATGAAATCTCTATTAGTTGTAATCAATAAAGCAATATATTATTTCAGAAAGAGACTACATAACATTTATGTCAAAACTTTAATAAAGATATGCCCTACATATCAATTCCAGCACTGAAACATGCAAAGCAATAAAAGATGTACATTTTTCCTGACACCCTTTGATACCCTTTACTATTTTTCATGTGGAATAAGCTTCCTCTGTTAATGCAGCATCTGTGTTAGAGTTGCATTTCCAAGATGTCAGAACAAGGCCTCCCTGTCCAGTGCATGCTGGCTTCCAATATTGGAAAGATTAAGTATTACAGAAACATTCTTCCTTTCATAGAAAACGAATTTTTCCTACCCAGCAAAAACTAACAACATTCAGTACTATGGTATCTCCAAGATGCTCTTCTCCTAAGGCACTTGGCTGCAATGTAAATTCAAACTGTCAGAAATGAAAACATATTTAAATAATAAAATATAAAAGGACAATACCTGAACATAAGAGGAAAACAACCCACAATCTTAAAGAAAATTGGTCATTGCTGGATTTTAAATGCTGTACAGACTACACCCACACTGTGCTATCCAGTAACCAACAGCTTCCGTCTTCTTTCTAAAACTGCATAGGCTGCTCCCAAAATAACCTATCAACATGAAAACCAGAACAAAAAAAATTCTCAAATCCTCCCACAGAAAATAAAGCAGAAGATCTAGCATCCATTTTTATATGAATTTGGCTCAGTGAAAGCAATTAAAAGAGTAGGACACACAAGCTTCATTAGTTTGAAGAGTGATTCTCTTTTACATCACTGGGTACCCTGTTTAAGAAAAAAAAAACTTTCAGTTTTTTTCCAAGATCGTTCTGCCTTTTTAAAAAAATTAATAAATGGTATTATACATCTTTACAAAAGCATTTCACTTGTCTGAAAATACAAGCTCATTACTACTTACACATTTATTAAGAATTAAAATTAGCTGTGCATGATGGTGCTAATCCAGAACTGAATAGAGGTAGCTGAGTTTTGACCATAATGGAGCCTGCCTATTACAATTGCAAATCATAATGGTTGTAAAACGGATCAGTCATGTGACCAACCCAATTTTATGACTTTTTTGCAGCAGTCGTTAAACAATCAGCGCAGTTCATGGGATGCTGCAAACACCAAAAGCGCACCCATGTGACTGCAGGGGGATAGTGATCTTTGGAACTTTGGACCCTGGTCGCAGGTCTCCTTTTTCAACTCTGTCATAAATTCAAACACTCACACAGACATGGAATTATTGGCAAAAATAGATCTTTAAATTCACTAAAAATAAAATCATCTTCCAATTTGAAAAATATTGTTACCTGTCAATGAATTTTTCATAATTCTTAAGAAGGACCTATTGTAGAGCAAGATTTGAGTTGCTGGATACCATGAACAAACATGGGCAAGTCATGATTTGGCAGGGACACGCACATATGGTACCCAAGCATTCAAAAATATTGATCATGTGTTATTCGACTGCCAACTCTCTGCCCCTTTTAGGCTTAGGCGTTTAACATCCCTGCTTGAAAGAACAGCCCACCAGAACCTGAATCTCAGATTGCCCCATTTGCTCCTGGGCTCTAATATAGACATCGTAAACAGAACTGCTAAGTTTATAGTCAAGGCAACTCAGCTAAGTGTTACATTGAATAGATTAGGGTATTATGTAAGGGTGATGTGTTATCTGTGTGTTTATTCTTTGTATTTATCACATTTGTATTTTATTACTGTATTTTATCTATTTTACCCTGGAATTAGATCCTGTATTTTACTTTTTATTTTCTGTGAAGTGATCAATAAACTATCATTAATACAATAATTGTTTCCCAAATTAAACCATAAACACACTTACCTAGGACTTTAAGTAGCTGCAAGGCCACAAAATTCTTTACATTTTCATGGTCTTCCAAGCTGGAGGGATCAGGCTTGATCCAAATGAATCCACTGAAGGGTGATGGATATTTTGGTATCACCACTTCATACCAGAACTGCAGCCAGTCTTCAGGATTCCTCTGCACACATTTTGTAAAGATTACAGGAGGGCCCAGCTGATGCAGCTCACACTGCAGTTTTAAATAATCCAACACACTGGCCCTTGCTGGTAGCATGTGGCCGTCCATAGGCCCAGAAGACACTTGAGGAAGAACACTTCTATGGCTCCAGCTGGATGGCAGGGCCTTTGGATTACCTGGAACTGAGACATTATGGAGCTCCTGTTTAATAATAGGTGTTAGCCAAGCCACTTCAATTTGATCTCCACAGAGACACAAGCTACCTGCATAAGAGAAAAAGCAATGCATATCTGACTTTCAATATACATTGATCTGCATTTGATTAATAATGTGGCTAACTTCAAGATCATCAAAGTTCACATGTACCTCAGTGATTCTGCTTTGGCAATAAATAGAAGCTTCTTCTAAAATGGGTGGGGAACTATGGCCCTTTTATGACTTGTGGACTTCCTCCCAAAAGTCCTGAGCCTGCTCAGGAATTCTGGGAGTTGAAGTCCACAAGTCAAAAAGGGGGCACAGTTTCCCAACTCTGTTCTAAAAGATCTAGAACAGTGATGGCAAAACTTTTGGGCTCGGCCTGTCACAAATTCAGAAAGTGCCTACCTTGAATGATGGTCTATCACTCCCTGTCCCCAACAAGAGACACAATTCATAACGGAGTAATACATTATTTAAATTTATTACTTAATAAATACTTATATAACTGTAAATGTCTATCCGAGGCAGCTCCAAGTCAGAGAGCTCTTACAGGGACTTTCAGCCTCCAAAAAGAACAGGAAAGTACGCCCCGTTCTCACATGCTTTTTAGGGGCTCCAGAGATTGTGCAAGAGCAGGGCCCTCTCACACAACTTCCAGAAGGTCTGGATGTCTGGCATGTCACCTATGACACATATTATAGGTTCACCGTCACTTTTCTAGAAAAAGACTATGAAAAACTAGTAACCAGGACAACAGATTTCTTTGGCCAACTCTGTCCAATATTTTTCCTAAATAATGAAAAGTTAGTTTGCTAAATTGTTCCCAAACATACTTATTTTGTCATCATACATTTTGAAAAGACAACAAATGCAAGAGATTCATTATGGGGGTGTGTGTGCTTAATTTCAGTTCCATAAGTGAGATTTAAATAAAGTTCATCCATTTATATCATCCTGGATGTTTCACTGTCAAACCTTTTTTCCTAACTTGGAAACTGTTTCCAAAGACTTTGCTGCTGTTTTGCTCACTGCAAAACTTCAGATGCATAGGAAATCTGCAGCTTTCCTAGCCATTTCCAGCACAGCACATGATAAGAATAATTGGTTCGTGGAACATTATGAGCAATATTCTTTTTCCCCTATGGCAAAACATAAAACAAACCTTCCACAAGATTTTTCTTGGCTATTGCAGCAGCCTGATGGGAAATGTATTTCACCTCTGCCAGCTGCCTCTTCTTCCTGAAAGGGCTGGCATGTAAGGAGATGCTTTGGAGTCCTGGGGTAAGTTCCTGTAGCATAGGCAGAAGGTGGCACTCTTTCAGCGAGAGTGCCAGACCATCAATGCAGAGCTCACACTTCTCAGTGCTTCTACAGACCAGAATGGGGGAGCCAAACTGGATTTCAAAGTTGTTGAGTAAAGCAATGGCCTCTTGGGCATTTCGACGGTTCATGTATTTAGCATAGGCAAAGCCACGGTTAAGCCCACTAAATGTCATCATGAGACGAAATTCATAAAGCCTCCCCACACTTTGGAAGAGAGGAATAAGTTTATCCTCATAGATATGCTGGGGGATTTTTCCTATAAAAACCTCTGAACCGGATGGTGGGGCATAGCCAGCCCATCCTGTGGAAAGAGCAAGGAAAATTCACATTACCCTCAAAGTATTTTCACTTTAGGGAAACGTTTTTTGTTCATATTGATTTGCAATACATGTGGGCAACCTTTTTGGTAGCCAAGAGCCACAGTTAATATCTGGAGAGGACTAAAGGCTGAGGTTGTGGCACGTTACTAATGATACAGGAAAGATCGCCAACGCCATTGTCAGCTATCCCACTACACATTAATGCAAAATTAGATTACAGTACTAGTTTTTCATTCAAAATTTTCTGCTCACCTGGTGGAGGACCACCATATTTTCTCTGCCCATTGATCTGCACTAACTGGATTCCAGTCTCTTTCACCCAAGCCAGAAGGGCAGTTTTATTATCCTGGTTTATTTTTTCACTCCACATTTGAGATGGTATCTAGGTAAAATAAACACAACACAAATCCAATGTAGTAACTATCTCTAATAACCCTACAACTATCTTGGGGACATTTTCTTCAAGTATTTCCATTGCAACTGTCTTGATTTGAACAGTAACACCATTTAGCTAACGCTTTCTGAACATTTGGAGTACTTCAGGGGCATCATATTTCAATCTTGTATGCAGCAAACTCATTGCAAGGATTAACATCCGCAAGAGAAAAAGGCTTCTGCAGCCTACCGTCTGGGTTACTGTATCAGAATACAGTAATATTCGTTTATTATGGAATCAAACCAAGTCAGCATGAAACTCGAATTACTAGAGGACGGAAAAATTGGGCGAAAGGCGGGGTCTCCATACATTTGCTCTCCACTCCCTCTAACTAAAGTGGGAACGTAAAACACGAGAGCAGCGTGAATTTGCAGCACTGTACTCCTAACTAGACCCGAATAAATAAGTCCGAATGGTAACATTACTGTAACACCGCTGAGTAATTATGTATTAGTAAATGCATTAAACGCCAAAAAAAAACTGAGATTAAAACAACAGCACCTAACATGTTAGGCTAATCAATGAGTTTACAGCTCTGGACTCCATGACGATCAGTCCACCGAGTCATTTGCGGCAAAACCCTAAAACCAACTCCACCAAAGTACCTGGGTCTCCAGCATGCCACTCATCCTTGCCCCCAAACGAGCACCACCTTCCCAATCCTACCCTTCGGAGGTGTGGCGGCACCTTTTATACTTGACCAGAACGAGGGCGTCTTCTGATTGGCCAGAATAAGGGCCTCTCCTCTAGGCTGGGTGTTTCGCTGGATTATTTAGGACTAATAAAAGCGCTAAGGCCGTTTGAGGCGCCGGTGAGACCGACGGCTCTTTCCTACTCCTTTTGGCAGCCCTCTTCGCCTCCCTGGCCTTCCCCGTTCAAAATCTCTTTTGCCCGTGTGGCGGCGGGAGCTTTGCACAGGCTGGATGCAAGAAGAGTTTGATAGCTTTCCTCTTCCAGCTTGGTCCAGGAGAAAGTTAACGGCTGCTGGAAAAGGAAAGGGCCGAACAGCCATGCTTCTCCCGAGTTTCTGAGTTATCTTTCCTTCTCCAGAGAAAAGTGGATCCTCTTGATCTTCCATGTTTACATTACACAGCACGTGAATATGCCGTGTGTCATATTTTCTCCCACTCTTCCGTCAAAACCATTTGAGGCAAAGTTACTCAAAGAGTGTCACACTATTTCTGTGCATGATTCCCCATGAAGGCACTATGAAAATAGAAATATAGTTGCACAGTACCAACCATTTTACTGTACCACACAATAATGTAAAAATAAAAGATTTAAGAGACAAGTTATTTTGTTTTCCCACAATTTTAATCAGGGTTTTACATAAAACGGTCAAATATTGATCACATCTGCCTGCATGAACTGAACCCTAGTAATCATGGAACCAACCATTTGGGTTGTAAAAAAGTGTGTCCAAGGCAAGAATCCTTTTCAGTAGCATAGTTTTTATACCAGATCCACAGCTCTCACATCTTTTTGTCCCATCATTGCATCCTGCCTTGCCCTGCTCAGTAAATCACAGGGATGACAAATGTAAATCGCAGATACAGATGATAAATTTTAATTCCAAGTCAAGGGCTTCTGCTTCCTTTAGAGAGCTATGCAGTTCACCAGAAAAAGTAATAATGTTATCAAATATCCCAGAACCTATTTTTATTGGCTGGATCTAACACTGATGGGAATAAAACTTGTTTTAGTTTAGATTCAGCCAATAAGAACACATCAGTCCCTCCTCCTCACCTTTTGTGCACTGGGCAGGTGTCCAACCTGGGTGGGCCCTTTAAGAGATCATAAGTGCTTGTTTCCTTTCCGAGAAGAAAAATGTGAGAGAGCCATTAGTGCAGTGCATGCAGGTGGAGGGAAAGGAGCGGCAGGAGGGGAGCAAGCACTAAAGCCAAACCTTTGGTGGGGAAAAAAACTGAGGTGTCTTCTCTGTCAAGCAAGGAATGGAGCACCAGCAAGAGAAAACATTCCCCAACCAACAGCAATATCCTGTATTGGTTTTCCCAGCAAACCAGTCACATTCTGCATGAGTGCTCACTGGCAGGGCAAGCCATGCCCCCTATGCGCTTTCAGCTTTTCCCAGTAGCAAAGAGAGCAGACTTGGGATGCCCACTTCTGCTTTTGGGGTACACCGTGGTTTTCTCTTACCCCTCTAAGATGTGCTTTTGAAATTTTCAGTTTGAAAGGTTTTGGAGAGGAGTTTCAGCTCAAAATAAACTGGACTGCACCCCCCCCTCCAATTTCTGCCGTTTTTGTCCAACTGTTTCATGAAGTCACCAAGGTAGACTTGCTAATATCACAAGCAGCAGAATACTCTAAGAAGATATACAATCAGGATAACTTGACCAAATTTGAGTAATGTAAGTAAGGAAGTCCAGTACATTTCATTATTTTGTTAAAGTGGAAAAGACAAATGCAGAAACATGGGTTGAAATAAATTTTATTGAGGTCAAATCAGGGATTCAAAACGCCAATATTTTAAACAATGGAACAGAATATTGAAAATACCAGCTTTCATTTGCTTTGAACCACAGCTCTTTACTCTTTAAGACTAAGCTCCTTGATCTCTAAGATTAAGGGGCTTTACAGAAAAATAAATTACAGCTTCGAAAAAAAACCCCTAATTTGAAGTCATTTATGAAGTTTTGCGGATCTTTTCAAAGGGAAATCCAGTATTTCTAGAGAATATGTGTTCGTCTCTTGATTTCTTCCACAAGCTTTCCTCTGCAAATATCCACCTGCAAAGCAAAAGTATGGCTTAATTAAGGTATCAAATAATATACAGTATCTCAATACTTTTCTCACTGTACTTTAAAAGTATCCCAATGTAATATTTATATAATATCTTCTCCATCATTTCCAAGCAAATTATTCCATGCAGCAAAAGACATGTCAAAAATCATGTACAATTTTAATTTTTTGAAAGAGTGTTCAATGCTGCATTTTAAAAGGAGAACTGTGTTGGTCTATGGCAGCCAAAAATCATAAGCCTGTTAGCATCTTTTCAGACTACCAAATCTTATTATAAGGCTGCTATAAACTGCTCATGCATCAGATATATGGAGAGCTAAGTTGATTTGGAAGGGGAAGAGGGGAAGCCAGAACACAAGGTAGCTAGGCAGGTTACAGGTGAGGCAGATTACAATCAATTAGCAGTTCCTTGGGATCTCAACAAACACAGTAGATTTTTAACATATTACAATTGCTGCGTCTGCATAAGCATCTTGTCTCTCCCCTCCTTCCCAACTTAAATATCAGCTTAGTCACTCCATGCATCTGATGAAGTGAGCTGCAGTTTATAACAGCTTATGCCCGCATAATAAAATTTGTTACTCTGGAAAGGAACTACCAAAGTTATTCTGATTCAAGGCTTCGTGTGTCTCATTTAACAGCTGGTGGATTACTTTTTGTGGAATAAAGTGGCTAAGATCTTAATTCTTTGAGGCACTACTTTTTCTTCCCAGTTGTTATTCATCACACTTGGGCAAATTTTCTCATTTTTCTTTTCCTATGTCCTTGAAGGCTCTTGTCTATAATGCGTGAAATATAGCAGCACAATAGCTCCTTTCAATCAATACCACTTGTACCTCCTGTCCTTGTGTGAAGGCACATTTTCAATTCATGTGTGCTGCCACTTCCCAGGCCAGGACAGTATTACTGACAATGCTTCTACAGCTATGCTTAATTTCAGGAAATTCCTTCCAGATTTGCATGGCCTCATTTTACATTCTGGAGGAAGTAAACTTCTTCTTTTTTTCCTCTCAGGGAACTGGTGCTACTCTGGGATTGTGACCAGGGCTTTCCTTCCTGCCATTTTTTTTATTGCACCTTTGAGTGAACGTTGACTCTTGGTGACTCTCTTGGACTATAGTCTCTGCAGTTTACTTGGCAAGATTTTTGGAAGTGGTTTGCCTTTGCCTTCCACTTAGGGCTGAGAGAAAGTGACAGGTCCAAAGTTGCCATGTTGGCCTTCTGCTATTTTATTTTCACAAAATGGGATATAAATCTTTATCCTGAACCATTTTATCATAGAACTTCCTTCTTGAGTTTGATTACTTTTTTAAAAATTTATAAACAAAGTTAATCTATATTTGTCTTTTAATGGATGGTGTTTAATTTCAATATACACAGACAAATTCTTTAATTTTACAAGGTAAAGACAAATCACAAATTCATCTGGGAAACTGTAGGAGATGCCCCATTACCCAAAACAAGAAAATTCCTAGAATCTTGGCATTCTGATAGATCAGCCATTAACACACATATAAAGATTAGCTTTGTTTAAAAAGTATTAAAAGAAGCAAACACAGGCCAAAGATGGAAACAAACAGCCTGCAGCATATTCTTTCTTATCACATACTCAGCAATCAACAGTTAAATAAGAAGAATCAGAACAATCAGCAGTTAATGCAATAAACTGAGCCAGGCAGGCCAATCAGAAATGGGTACTAACAAACTGTAACAACCTATTAAGACAGTCAGGACAAATCACAGAGGATGTTAACTATTTTGGTAGTGAAATATCTGCAAGAAGAAAAATAAGCTCACAAAGAATATAATCATTCCTGCTTTTAGTTGACTATTCTGGTATCAAGGTATAACCCTAAAATAAAATGGCAGGCACACCTCTTCTCTAGTAACCACATCACGCAATTTGACAACTCCATCTTTTAACTCTTGCTCTCCCAATATAGCAACAAGTGGAATTCCAGTTTCCTCACAGTACTGCAACTGGTTTAGTAGTTTGGGATTTTTCTTATAAAGTATCTCTGCCTGGAAAATATAGAAAAAAGAAGAAAAAGTTAGTACACCATGATGAAAACTACCCTTCATTATTCTGGTTCCAAAAATTCTGGTCCTCATTGTAGTTTTCTTAGTAAAAACAAAATTATAATGCATGTACATTATTCAGACTGTTTAGTCATTGTTTCAGTTTTCTTCAGTTATATGCAATGCTATGTTACAGGACACATTACATTGAATAGGTCTGACTAATGTCCTGCAGGTAGTCATATATCCAGCATTTCCTACAATATTGCAACATACTGAATTTCTATGTCAGATTTTTGGATGGAGATTCTTCACAGGTGAACTGTTATAATAAATAGTTCCACCTTTAGCTCAGAGTTGGCTTTTTGGATCAAGAGCTACACATCATTCTGTATAATGTGCAAAATCTTCATTTTAAAAAAAGGATGTGGGTAGGAAAAAGTAGAAAAGACCAGAGCACGATAAAGAATATACATTAACACTGAATAAACATATGAATAAATTAAATAGACTGCATTTGGGACTGGCCAGCCAGAAGGGGAGAAAAAAGCAATTTTAACCCTTTTCAAAGCAATTCAAAACATAAACAGATCAATTCCAAAATATTTATAAAACTTGAGAGTATATAATATTGGCCCATGAGTCACATATATAACTGGCAAATTTTATGCCAATTAAATGATAGGCATGTGATATGGACAGCACCTATCCTCATAGGGTATAATTTTTGGATTCCTCTATTCTTTTATTTGGCGGCTGTTGTAATTTTGAACATTCATTAAGTGACCTATTGTATCTCGAGGACTATCTATAGTATTAGCTGAGAAGCTAAATACCTATTGCATTATAAGATGATCAAACTGATACTGTTAATTGGGCTAAATTATCAGGTTTTAAATAGAACAGATTGCAGGTCTATATTACCCGAAGAGCTATATTGCATCAGACAGACTTAGGGTTCTTTCCAAACTCAGATATAGTCTGGAATTCTAATTATTGGCTTGACCCAGATATGATTAAGATGCACCTTAATTCCTGAATCCCACAACTCGGACACAAGCTTTAGTCTTTCTTCAAGAAGTTTCTTTTGAGCAGATGCTACAAGCACCTGGGTCTCTGTGGTTCGGATTTTCTCTTCAGAAGCCTGATGGAAAAAAAATAGTTGGAGAGATTTATAGAAATATAATTTAAAAAAACCACTACAATTCATATGTGCAACCCAGATTTAATAAATTAATATGATGGCTTCCATTCTGTTGATGTTACAAAGAACCATATGGACATGGCTGGTCTCCCAAGCTTTGGGTTAGAGCTGAAGTTGTTGGTGGGATATTTTTCAACCTTACTGTGTACAATGATTAAAACTTTCCAAAAGTCTTCAAACATCACAGAACATAGAATAATATGGTCGGAAGGGAACTTGGAGGTTTTCTAGTCCAACCCCCAGCCCATGGCAGGAGATCCTGTACCATTCTGGACTTTCTTTGGTTTGATGGGATGAATACAAAAAAAGAATAATAGAGCTTGAAGGGGCCCCAGAGGTCCTCCAGTCCAACTCCCCAACCAAGCAGGAGACCCTATACCATTTCAGACAAGTGGCAGTGTAATCTCTTCTTAAAAACCTCCAGTGATGGAGCACCCACAGGCAAGCCGTTCTATTGGTTAATTGTTCTCACAGTCAGGACATTTCTCCTTAATTCTAGGTTGCTTCTCTCCTTGATTAGTTTTCATTCATTACTTCTTGTCCTGCCCTCAGGTGCCTTGAAAAACAGGTTGAGCCCATCTTCTCTGTGGCAGCCCCTCAAATATTGGAAAACTGCTATCATGGCACCCTAGTTGTTCTTTTCACTAGAGTAGCCATGCCCAGTTCCTGTAACTGTTCTTCAGGGTTTAGCCTCCAACCCCCTAATCATCTTTGTTGCTCTTCTCTGCACTCTTTCGAGAGTCTCAACATCTTTTTTACACTGTGGTGAACAAAACTGGATGCAATGTTTCCAGGGCCCAGTGTTCAAGTCTGTCGAGATCTTTCTGGATCTTGAGCCTTCTGGGGTGTTGGCTATTCTTGTTAGCTTGGTGTTGTCTGCAAATTTGCAGCACACTGCTGGCTCATATTTAAATGACTAGCCATTACAACTCCTAGATCCCTATTGTAATTACTGCTGTTGAGCCAGGTACCACCTATTCTGTACCTGTGCATTTGTTTTTTCTTGCCTAAGTGTAAAATCTTATGTGTTTCACCACTGAATTTTATTTTGTTAGATAGGGCCCAATATTCTAGTCTGTCAAATATCTTTCTGGATCTTCAGCTTATCTTCTGGGTGTTGGCTATTCCCTCATCTAAATCGTTTATGAAGATGTTGAAGAGTACTGGGCCTAAAATGGAACATTGGGATACCCCACTGCTTACTTCCCTCCATGTAGATATAGTTCTATTAAGGACTATGCTTTGACTGTGGTTGGTCAGCCAGTTATGAATCCACTTGTGGTGGTGCTGTCAATCCCATATTTTTCTAATTTACCAAGAAGTAAGTTGTGATCTACTTTGTCAAATGCCTTACTGAAATCCAAGTATACCATGTTCACAGCATTTCACTGGTCCACTAATTTAGTCACTTTGTTAAAGAATGTAATAGTATTTGTTTGACATGATCTGTTTTTGATTAACCCATGTTGGTTTCTGGTTATAAATTTGCTTGCTTCTAGGTGTTCACAGATCTGTTGTCTGATTATCTTATCCAGGATCTTCCCAGGTATGATCAGGGTCATTGATCTGTAGTTTTCTTGATCAATTTTCCCCTTTTTTGAAGAGGGAAACCCTGTCAGCTCTTTTCCAGTCCTCTGGTAATTCCCCAGTGTTCCAAGATCTTTGAAAGACATGTAATCATCTGGTCCTGGTGATTTGAACTTGTCTAGGGTGGACAGGTGTTGTCTTACCATTTTCTTGCCTACTGTATTATAACTTGTATTCCTAGCCTGTCTTTTAAGGTTATGTTTTTGCTAGGTTGGGCTATAGTTTCTTTTTGTGTGAGGACAGATGCAAAGAACGAGTTAAGCAGCTCTGCTTTCTCTCTACTGCCTGTTACTTTGTTGCCATCTTCTCTCTTTAGTAGACCAACTGTTTCCTTGACATTTTTCTTGTTATTTGAAAGAAACTTTTTAATTATCTTTCACATTTGTTGCAAGTCTTAGTTAATTCTGAGCCTCAGCTTTCTTTGCAGATTCTATCTGCTGGCATTTTGCCTTAGTTATGTGTCCCTCTTTCCATTTTTTATACTTATTCTTTTTGCCTTTCATCTTTGTGAAACTGGTTTCTCCTTGGATTTCTTATTTTTCTTTTTCAGTGGTATTGTGCTGGACTGGCCTTTTGTGATCATATTTTCAGAGTTTCCCAAGCTTCTTGAGTTGTTTTCCCCTATAAGATTTTCATCCATGGAATCTTTCCTAGGTTCTCTTGGAGTTTGCTAAAATCAGCTGTTTTAAAGTTTAAGATACTGGTTGGATTATGCTCCATTGCTTGTGTTTGCATTATGTTGAATTCCAATTTTTCCTTGGTCACGCTCACCCAAAGGTTCGGCAACTTCAATCCCCTCTATCACTTCTTCGTTAGTAAGAATTAGGTCCAATAAAGCTTTTCCCCTAGTTCCGTCCTCTACCTTTCGGATAACAAAGCTGTTAGCTAGGTTGGTAAGGAATCTATTCAATCTCCCACTTGTTGCAGAGTTTGTCTCCCAGTTGATAGTAGGGAAGTTACTACTGTGGCGGGTTTCCTACATACATTTTTTATGAGGGGTTCTTGGTGCTCTTTGAGCTTGCTTGTTCTCTTGCAGACGTTTCATTACCCAAACTGGGTAACATCATCAGTGCTTGACTCAGAGAGCACCAAGGACCCCTCACATCAACCCTGAGATACAAATATTCTCCTTTATTAATATATTTGTTAATTGGTTAGCAAAAAGTTTGTCTATTTCTTCTGCTTTGTCTATTTCTTCTGCTGTATTATTACATATAATACAACTCCACCTCCTCTTTTGTTAGGTCTGTTTCTTTTGAATAATTTGTATCCTTCTATCAGTATATTCCAGTCATGAGTTTCATCCTACCAAGTAACTATATCATTTCTGCCTTCATGTACTAGTACTTCAAGTTCACCCTGTTCCCTAAACTTTGAGCATTAGTGTATAGGTAGTTGAGTCCTTTATGGGTATGTTTCTTATATCTCCTACTTCGTAATTGAGTTTTCCATCCCTCTGAGCACTCTCTACTTCGTTATGTGGTTGGTTATGTTGGAGTTTATGTTTGGAATTAAGTCCCAAAGATCCTAAAGATAGTCCTATAAATTCTAATAATTGATTACCCCCTCCCCTGATAAGTTGAGCCAGTCATTTTCAAAAACATTCTCCCCAGTTCTTGTGAGGTGCAATCCCTCCCTTGCCAGAAGCCCTTCATGGAGGTAATTCAGATCATGGTCTAAGAATCCAAAGTTCTCTTGCTGGCACTAACACTTGAGCCAGTGATTCATTTCTAAAATCCTTTGCTCTCTCACTGGATGTTGACTTATCATTGGAAGTATAGATGAAAACACCACTTATGCTCCTAATTCCTTAAATTTCTTGCCTAGCTGTTCATAATCTCTCGATATTGTTTTAAGTTGATTGTGTTGTTCGTCCCTATGTGAAGAAGGAGAAGGGGGTAGGAATCTGTGGTTTATTTTAATAAGGCTTTTGGCTACATCTTTGATTTTTGCTCCAGGAAGGCAATATGCTGGTCTGCAGACTGGTCTGCAGACTGCTGGTTCTGTTCCCCTCAGAACTGAATCTCCTATCACCTTTTTTCCCTAGGGAAGTTTGGGCTACTTTACTGTCTATGGCAGGAGCACCTGATGATGCCTCTTTTCTAGGGACATTTGATGATGCCTTTTTTTTAGGGGCACTTGGTTTTGCCTCTTTTCTAGGTGGCTGCATGCTATCTTCCAAGTGTAAGATATGAAATTGATTTCTTATCTCCAGTGGGGCTGCATTGGAATGAGCTGGAGTGAACTAGATTAGATACCAACAGGGACGTTGTTTGTGGTTGCTGTTTTTTTTCCTATGAGTGACTTGCTTCCATTGGTCCTTCTCACATACAGGGTCATTTCTTTTAGAAATTGTTTGTTTCTTATTATGTTCAATTTGGATATAGTCTTCTTGCTTAGTTTGGAGTTTTTCATTTTGTAGGTTTAGTTTCAGAGTGGTTAGAGTTGCCTGTAGACCCTTTACTTCTTCTTCCAGTTTGGTACGTGTGTAGTTTGGGTCTTCCAAGGGCATAATATATATATGGAACATATTTTACAAACCACAATAATGTCAGTTTCTGTTTCCATGACTATGTTTGTTTTGCTATTGGGATGGGGCTGCTTAACAAAGGGAAGGGCTGCTTTTTCTCCACAAAGAATGTTGAATTCTCAGGCTACTTTTTAGGAGGAGCTTTGCTCTTAGCCCTCAACTTCCTGCCTTGATTAAAAAACAATCGTTCCTATTCTCCCTGTTTCTTCTCTACCTTTGTAGGGAATTGTTATTGTCCCTTTCTTCAATTCAATTCAAGGTATTGGTTAAAGTCCTAACATTATGTAATGTTATGGGGTCAAGCTATCCGAAGGAAAGTCTTTCCCTGGGGGAATCTACCCATTCCACCAGATCAGATAGGGTGGGTCCCTTTCCTTAAATCTTGTCTTAGTAAGAGCTAAGAAGTACTTTCTCTGTAGCAGATCCTGCCTTATGAAACACCCTTTCCCCTGATATATGTCTGCTTAATACAGGCTACTCACCTAATCTTACAAAAGAGAAGTTTCTGTTATGTTTTTAATTATTATTTTATGAGCCAGCCAGGATTATGGTACATATGACCAGTGGCAGCATAAGCCTTTGAAATCTACCTATCTATCTTTGGGAGCAGATAGTAACATTTGACCATTTGAGATGGTATGATGAGTACTGTTGTAGAAAATGGCTGATATGGAGGTATAGTCATTTATAGAGCATCAATTTCACTGAAAGCAAATTAATAATGATGAGGGACAAACAATCTGACTGCAAATCAGGTCCAGAACTCAATACACAAAACATGAATTTGGACTTAGTTTTCTGAGACAAGAGAATTCATAGATGGTAAAGAACACAGAAACCCGAAGAGAGAAAAAACACTAGAATAGAAATAGAAATAGAATAGAACTGGAGGGGACCTTGGAGGGCTTCTAGTCCAGCCCCCTGCTCAAGCAGGAGAACCTATACCGTCTCAGACAGATGAATGTCCAGTCTCCTCTTAAAAATCTCCAGTGATGGAGCGCCCACAATTTCTGGGGGTAAGCTATTCCACTGGTTGATTGTCCTCACTGTCAGGAAGTTTCTCCTTAGTTCCAGGTTGCTTCTCTCTTTGATCAGTTTCCAACCATTGTTTCCTGTCCTTCCATCTGGTGCTTTAGTGAACAACCTGGCCCCCTCTGCCTTGTGGCAGCTCCTCAGATACTGGAACACTGGTATCATGTCTCCCCTATTTCTTCTTTTCTTTAGACTAGCCAAACCCAAGTCCTGTAGCCGTTCTTCGTATGTTTTAGTCTCCAGGCCCCTGATCATCTTAGTTGCTCTTCTCTGAATTTTTTCCAAACTCTTAACATCTTTTTTGTGATATGGTGACCAAAATTGGCTGCAGTATTCCAGGTGTGGTCTTACTAGGACTTTATAAAGCGGTAATATTACTTTGCATGATCTTGATTCTATGCCTCTGTTTATATAACCCAGGATTGCATTAGCTTTTTTGGTTGCTGCTGCACACTATTGGCTCATAGTCAAGTGATCGTCCACTAGGACTCCAAGGTCCCTCTCACAGTTACTGTTTTTAAGCCAGGTCTCGCCTAGTCTGTATTTGTGCCTTTGGTTTTTCCTGCCTAAATGTAAGACTTTGCTTTTCTCCACTTTGAAACTCATTTTGTTGGATAGGGCCCATTGTTCAAGTTGGGCAAGATCTTTTTGGATCCTGAGTTTGTCTTCTGGGGTGTTGGCTACTCCTGCCAGTTTGGTGTCATCAGCAAATTTGATGAGTTCCCCTTCTATTCTCTCATCTAAGTCATTGATGAAGATGTTGAAGAGTACTGGGCCCAAGACGGAGCCTTGTGGTACCCCACTGCTTACTTCTCTCCATGTGGATGTAGAGGAGATGTGGAGAAAATTTTAAGAAGGAAAATCTAATTTTCTTGACATGGACCATTTCATTTCTGTTCCCTGATCAGAACAGATATCTGACCACCTGGGATATACTTGACCAGAGGTTAGAACATTTTGACTTCAAATATTTTACCCACTTCTAGAAAATCTATTCTAATCAGAGACAAACTTTCAAGTAAAAAAAGCAAGCAATCTTACCTCCATTTTTTGTTCCATAATGGAAAAGACCCGTTCAATGCCAATGCTGACTCCAACACAAGGCACTTTCCGATTCTTTGGATCAAACATCCCTACTAACCCATCGTAACGGCCACCTCCAGCCACACTGCCAATACCAACAGACTCCTCCACATGATCATTTGGTTCTTGGAGAAGGATAGCCTCATATATTACTCCAGTGTAGTAATCCAAACCACGAGCGAGACTTAAATCAAAGGAAATCTGTAAAACAATTTATAACTCTCATAAACAGAACAGAAATACTCAGCTCAAAGTAATTAGAAGAACAAAGAATAGAATTTTACCTGATCTGAAATGCCAAAAAGATCCAAATATTTGAACAGCTGTTTCACTTCCTCAAGCCCTTCCCGAGCCAATTTATTTTGTGACAGCTTTGGATCTTGGAGCAATTGTTCAATTAAACTAAGCCCACCTGTGGAAATAAGACATATAGGATAGATGCCTGTGTGAAAGATTCAGCAGCAGTACCAAACCTTTTTCCACTCAACTCTCCTTTGTTTGCTCTATTTCTCATGCAGTGCAATTTCATTTCTTATAAATTGAAATAGAATCATGTGAAAAAAGTACATCCTCTTTGAGTTCTACGGTTTTATGCATCTGGACATTGTAAAAAAAAATCATCCAGTCCTTAGCAGTTCTTAAAAATAGGTAAATACAACACCATGTCATCATTTATTTTACAAAAAGAAAGCCAAAATGGACAAGCCCTGTATGAAAAGCTAAGTACACCCTTACTGCTTTCATAGGTATGAAGAGTCTAAGTAGCAGCCAGATGCTGCTAATCAAGTGCTCTTGATCAGCAAGTGTGACTACCTCTATAAAAGCCGAAGTTTTAGGAGTTTGATGGTCTCCAGCACTGAGGAGTAGGCTAACACAATTCTAAACAGTAAAGACATCAGCAATGATATTAGAGAAACAACTGTTGCTGCCCATCAATCTGGGAAGGGTTATAAGGCCATTTCCAAACAATTTAAAGTCTATCATTCTAAAATGAGGAAGATTATTCACATGTGGAAAACATTCAAGACAGTTGTAATCTTCCGCCGAGTGGATTTCCCAGCAAATTCACCCCAAGATCAGATTGTGCAATGCTCAGATAAATTGCAAAAAATCCAAGAGTTACATTTCAGACTCTACAGGTCTTAGGTAGCACATTAAATGTTGACGTTCATGACAGTACAATTAGAAAAAGACTGAACACGTACGGCTTGTTTGGAAAAGTTACCAGAAGAAAGCCTCTATGTCTTGATAGAAAAGAATAGGATTCTATTCTATTCTATTCTATTCTATTCTATTCTATTCTATTCTATTCTATTCTATTCTATTCTATTCTATTCTATTCTATTCCTTATTCTTATTCTATTCCCTAATCTATTCCTTATTCTTATTCTATTCCTAATTCTAATTCTATTCCTTATTCTATTCTATTCCTTATTCTATTCCTTATTCTTATTCTATTCTATTCTATTCTATTCTATTCTATTCTAATTCTATTCTATTCCTTATTCTTATTCTATTCCCTATTCTATTCTATTCCTTATTCTTATTCTATTCCTAATTCTATTTTATTCTATTCTATTCCTTATTCTATTCCTTATTCTTATTCTATTCTATTCCTTATTCTTATTCTATTCCCTATTCTATATTCTTATTCTATTCCTAATTCTAATTCTATTCCTTATTCTATTCTATTCTATTCTATTCCTTATTTTATTCTATTCTATTCCTTATTCTATTCCTTATTCTTATTCTATTCTCTATTCTGTTCTATTCCTTATTCTTATTCTAATTCTATTCCTTATTCTATTCTATTCTTATTCTATTCTTTTTCTATTCCTTATTCTTATTCTATTCCTTATTCTTATTCTTATTAATTCTAATTCTATTCCTTATTCTATTCCTTATTCTATTCCTTATTCTATTCCTTATTCTATTCTATTCTATTCTATTTCTTATTCTTATTCTATTCCTTATTCTTATTCTATTCCCTATTCTATTCTATTCTATTCTATTCTATTCTATTCTATTCTATTCTATTCTATTCTATTCTATTC